AGCTGCTGGCTGACAATCACAATAACCAAAACGAAAATAAATTAGAAGGGCAAAAAGATTAACTGACTTAAAATTAGTGACGATCAGAAGAGTAAAAATTATTTGCTGACTTAGAAAGTGGAAAAATTCATCAAAAAAATATGAAAAACGAACCGAATTCAATAAAATGGTAAGGTCTTGTGACTTGATCTATCTTTGGTGCATGCTGACTGTTGAATTCATTTGTCACTTCTTCTAAATAGGCGAATGCTGATTTTCGTGGAAAATCTTTATCGCATAAACACAGCGTACAAACTGGGCCTTTTATTACGTAGCTGCAAAAATTGAAGAAATATAATGACATATATCTAATACACATTCTATGATGCTTTCATTAATGAGGCTTCTTGAACCTCAAAAATAAAGCAGTGCATGCACTTCACTAGTACCCATGATATTTTAACGGATCTCAAGGTTCTGATGAACTCTCATTATGAACGGTGCGCCCTGTGAATTGATTCAAGAAATACGAGAACAAATGAATAGAAGAAAACGTACTGAAAATAATATGGCCCACTCTCGACAGTAGCCGCTGAGACTGTGGCTGTATGCAACTTTCTGAAGATCATTTTTGCCTGATTCGTATATTTCACCATATTGTGATCAGCCTGAAATGAAAATCTGTTCTAATCAATTCAAAAAAATGAAAATGAACACGAGACAACAATCACTCAAAGTCAACGTTGAGTTAGGATAAACAAGCTCATTTTCAGCTGCTAGCTGATTCAACTTTTGTGACTGTGGAAAGCACAAGACGACCACCTACCTCATCACCACCTTCAATTGACGTCGCCAGAATGAGACCATCTCGTACACGTGCAATTAATGTTAACAGTACCATAACGACTGAATATCAATGTTTCTCCACAATATTCCACTGAAAACAAACGGAAAACCACTCGATTCCACGCTTACGCTGCAATAAAGTTATCATTACCAGGCTCATCTATTCCGCAACGTCAAGATTAACGAACGCAGCTAATGCAAAAGTTCACTCAAATTTTCATGTGAATAACACGTAATTCATTTAACTGCAAATAATTTAAGAGAGTGTCAGCGTTCCGTTTGTCCAATAACTGGCTGAATCAATTAAAATAATCGAAACCACTCGAAATAATAACTTGCGTTCCACTGCAAGTGCAAATAAATGTAATTATCCTTGCAAAACTCTTCTTCCACGTTTCACATAGAGTGGATTAGATTGAGTTAATAATGGTGAGAGCAGCTTCGCCACATCGCTCGTGTGACTTACTTGCATCTGCGACTAACTGATCGCTCGCTGAGCAGAGTCTACATTTGAGGGTATTGCGAGACATTGATTGCTACAGCTTACACTTTCTTGAACTGAAATTGGATAGGTGATAATCAACTGGAACTGAAAGAAGCTGTTTAGTAGAGAATTATGGAAACCGAATTGCAATGACCACTGAACAAAAGCGACGATACTTAGAAGATGCCACAGATAGGATGTTCAGTTTGTAGTTACTGGAAATCTATCAGTTGCCAGAGCTATCCGCAACGATCTTAAAATCCACTGATTGTGAGATAACGGTCCACATAGACATATCATTCAGTGTTAAGCTGAAGTAGATATCTCCCACATAGACATATTCAGTGTTAATTTGCGAAGAGCTATCAGGTTGAAATCAATTGTGCAACTGCTTCAGAAGAAGAAGATTAATATCATTCATTCGATGTTACTAGTGAAGACTTATTCGTACAGGTGTTACTGATTATGAAATAATTAACATTTTCATGATAGTCGCTTGATTTGATGGAATGACAAGGTTTGAATGAGTAATATATCTCGCATACATTGCTGCTATATGGTCGAGCTGACGGGATATTTTCAACAGATGTGTGGAAGAATAAGGTTGATGAAGCGAATAAGCTCTATGCATTGTGATAACAA